GCCGACCAGGGTGACTCAAGCAGCCGGAGGCGGCGGATATCACGACGACCTCGAGAAAGCAACGGAGTCTTCCGGCGACCGGAGACCGATCTCCCGCCCCAGCCACAAAACAACGTCGAATTTTCAACGGTTTGCCGTCATTCTTCAACGCCGGCAACTGAGTCGACGACCTAAGATTCGGGACACCTCGAAAAAATAGAGCCGCCGCGGGGATGGGCTGTGTGTTTTGGCGAGAGAAAGATAGAGTGTGGGATGCTCCAAAGGCGGCAGGGGTGCTCCGGCGGTGGCAGGGATACTCCATTGGCGGCGGTGGTATTGCAGAGGGGATGCTCCGTCGGTGGTGGTCGCGCGTGTGTGTGTGTGTGTTTGTGTATGTGTGTGTGATTTCTGTGTGTGCTTGAGGGATTACTGTGTGTGTGCGTGTTTTTGTGCGAGAGAGATGGCTGATGGATAGGGTTGGGTGCGGTGGGATGGGGTGGGGGTAGTGTGGGTGGTTTGTTTGGTAGGTGGGTTAGGTGACAATTATTTAATGTGTAGTAGGGCCCATGTGTTTGAGTGTAGTGTGAAAAATTACCACATTACCCTTAATGATGATATAATTTTGACTTTTTTTTAGCCATTAGATTGTGTGATCTAATGGTTACGATTTATTCTCATTTCTTTAATGGGGAACATTCTCATGTGAACCTATCCCTATATATATATATATATATATATATATATATATATATCCTTCCCTTTGTTTTGCAGCAACCCTCCCCTCACTTCTCATATCACGCCGCAAAAACCCTTCTCCTTCATCAGCAAACCCATCTCCACCCTCCATCCTTACCCCCTCGGCCGTCGCGAGCCACCAGTGCCGTTGCACTCCGCCTTCCCTGCCTACCGCGAGTACCCCTGCACGGAGCAACCGTCCACGATCCTTTCTCTGTTGTTCGCGCGTATTACCAAGAAAAATAATTTTGTGAAACCAAAGTGAACCGAGCCTTATAAACCAAAAGTCGAACCCTTGGAGTGGCCCGGCCCAACGGCGGCCCACGAGTACCCCTACCACTATATATGCTTTTTGTACTGAATACTACTCTGAAACATGCAAGTGGAGGTAATTTGATTTTTCTATTTTTGGTCTACATTTTTTTTTTTAAGTGTGCAGAGAGTTAAAAGTTATGTATAGTTTATTCAGGTCTCCTAACTGATGTGTTTTGATGTTAGCATTTTTGAGCACAACTGAAGTAACTAGATTTTAGTTAACACATTAGATTTAAACTGTTCTTTTTTTTTTTTTTCTTTTTTTCAATGAAATAAGAATACCACTTAAATGAAGCTCTTTTATCCAATCACCATGTGCAAGGCTTTGTTTTCTTAAGATCGCATCACATATTAGGCACTGAGAGTCATTGTGTTTTTCTTGGTGAATTTTTGTAACGTGATCTTGTTACTAAAAGTGCATTATGTAGGACAATTTTTAAAGTGTTGGTTGATCTTTTTTTTTTTTTTTT